ACGTTTTGAAAACGCACCTGACATGTTTGGGTAAACTGCATTTTGACAACTTATGTATTTTCAAAAAGCTGAAAACAACGTTTTCACACCACACCTGACAGTTTTCTGGCAATGGTTTGACTTTTCCAAAAAATATATATATATATATATATTTAATAACTACCGCACCTAACTTATCAGCAGATTATTCAATAAGCTTGCAACTGCCCCAAACAGACCCTTAGCAAATCCTGAAATCATTAAGGGGGCATTTACATAAATGCCAAGCAATTATTATGTATTTAAATATCTAACACCTAAACTTTCATATTTACATGCATAGCACTCAGGTATTTAATATCACATGAGAGATGCCACATTCACTATGCTTTCTAAAGGTGAAAAACATTGTTTCATGAATAATATTGTGACACTAAAGTGCTATAAATGTAAATATAAAAAATATAATATTCAATATATAAATACATAAGAATTGCGTGGTATGTATGCAAAATAGTGAATTTAAATGAGAGGAAAGAGACCAGAAGTAGCGTATAACAGGATTTACCTTTAGAGGATAATAAAATCTAGGGTCATTTACATACATACCACCCAATTCCTACATATTTACTTATAAAAAACCTAAACTTTACTATTTACATTTCTAACACCCAAATCTTTCATAACATATCAAAAGTACGCCTATTCCACAGGTAAGAGGACAAAAATGTAAAAATTGTAGGGGTTAGATATGCAAATACATATGAATAAAATGGTATGTATGAAACCATTTGGCTTAAATTCTGGGTGAATCTTAGCTAAAATGCACCTAAATCTGAATTTACAAAATCTACTAAACTCAACTGGGTTAAATCCTGCACCGGCCTGTTTTGGGCAGATGCAGCTAATTGAAGCAACAGCTGTGAAATTGCTACAAAAGAAACTGTTGTTCAAAAAATTATGATGGTTATTCAAAATTTATTTTATGTTCAGAAAGACGAATCTCAGCTTTCTGACAGTCACCTCACTTTAACATGTCAGGTTGCAAAACACAGCGTCCCACCATAACTAAGCGTAGTTTCACCAGACACCCGAAAATGTTGTGCGTGTCGTACCACCACCACACCACCGCCCCAAATGCAGTAGACAAACAACACCATAATCTCATATAGAACAAACATTTTATAATAAAAAACTAATAAAAAGGAAAATTTCCAAACATTTACACATAAACCTATGCAGGTAAAGGTGCATATTTCACTTTTGAAAAATTAGTAATAATGACATTTTTGATGCAATGTTAAACATTTGAGTGATAAGCATGTAAGCATCAAAGTTTAGGCGTTAGATATGTAAATATATAAAAATTGTGGGGTATGTAAGTAAATAGCTCAAGAAGTAAATATATTCTCTATTTTGCACCAATAACAATCCTATATTCCTTTTGAGCAGAGCAACTCAAAATATCTCCTTACTTTACATTTCTATTTAGCTGAAGAACCGGATTCCAAGGGGAATAATTGCAACCCCCAATTTCAAGGCCTTTACATTTCCTTTCTTTTTCTCAAATTACAATTTCCCCCCTATGACATTTTGGTTTCATGATTTCAACTAAGAATACTTGAGCCATGAAAACATTTATTTGCATATAAAAAAAAAATTTGCAAAATGAAAAGGTAGATTAGTTTGTACAATAAAAAATCTCATTGTGCATATAGATGGCAATTTTTTTAATGCCATTGAAGTGTTTTAGGGGTGTCAAATCGGGTTTGCGGGATGGGTTGAGTATGACCCGAAATTGACACGACCCGAAATTGCTTTGACCCAAGCTCTACCCGAATATTGAATGGGTTAAAAAGTCCAGCCAAAACCCAGCCCACCGTCAGCCAGCTAACCCAAACACGACTCATATAACACGTTTAGAATAAGATATAACAACTATTTGGGTCGAATTCTAGTTATACTCGAGTTAATTTTGGGCCAGGGGGTCGACTTCAAATTAATTTTGGATCGGCTCAACTTGAAAATTAAGAAGTTTAGGATTCTTAAGGCAAGTCAGCCAAAAAATTATTCACGTTAACCAAAAAAAATCGATTTTGAATTGAGTTGACGCGTCAGGTCAATTTACGCACCGCTAAAACGGTTCAGATGAGACAAGTAGAACTACTCTAAAGAAGATTTTCCATTAAAGAGTTTCTGCCGATGGAAGGTTTATTTCAATTTTAAAAAGTCAGAAATTATGATATTTTTTCCCCTGATATTAAAGATTTTAAAGTTATGCAGGAAAATATGAAAGTAAAGGAGTTATATATGTAAATACATAAGATTTGGGTGGTATGTAAATGCCCCCCTTTTTAGCAAGCACATCAATAAGTCGCCCTTCAGTTGAGTTACTTAAAACACCTCTTCCCAAATATGTTTATTGTATGCACCAAAATTATCAACACGAATCAGAAAGCGATCAGACGACTAAGGATGATGTCTATATAATTAAAGTATTGAAGTTCAAGGAACTTGATCCAAACCGGCCATCTGAAGACCAACAACTCAATCAAATCAATTGACCTTCAGTACTGATGGATCCAGCTGACAAACTTCTTTACGGCTCCAACTGTCGAGGCTTCCAAAAAGGTCGATCGATCGCGACTAGCTGACCAATCAACCTCGACAGAAGGGACCATCACGTAGTCGGTCGCTCCAGTCGATAGAGTCGAAGCACGCTGATTCACCAATCATCGTCGTACTGCATTCCAATTGTAATATAAATTTGATATTAATTAGCACATTAATTGTATTAAAGACGGTTTCCATAACTATCCCCCCTTTCCATAACAATGTATGCTGACTCCTATAAATAGGTAGCCTAACGATGAATAAAAGGACTTCTTCCCCCTGACTCCTCTCCATAGAATTCTCTCTGCACTGCTCTCTCTCTCTCTCTCTCTATCTCACTCTTGTTCTCCTTTGCTCAGCTCTAACTCTTGGGTTGTGTGTTTGCAAAAGACAATTTGGGATTCAACATTTATGAAACCAAGATGTTAAAAGCGTAAATATCAAACTTTGGGTGTTAGATATACAAATACATAAGAACTGTGTGGTATGTATGTAAAATTCAAATTATGTGCAAGGCCCATCCAATAATCTCTTACATAAGTGAGGCATAGTTACTTTTCTTTCACATGTTAATGGATAATTTATTTCGTACTAAAAAAATTATTTATACTTGCAATCTTTGGGTCGAGGCATGAACTATTGATGTGCTTGCCAACAAAAAAAGAGGCATTCACATACATAATACCACACAATTCTTATCTTCTTATCTATTTACATATCTAACGCCTAGACATTCATATTTACAAGCACATCAGTCAAATCATTAACATCATATCAACAGTACCAACATCATTACCCCATCACTACTCTTTTAAATTCAAATACACATTTTCATGCACAGGCTCATGATACCAAGATGCCATAAGCGTAAATGTCAAATTTCAGATGCCAGATATATAAATACATCAGAGTTGTGTGTTATCTATATAAATTTCAAAATTATGTGCAATGCTCATCTAATTATCTCTCATATGAGTAGGGTTGTAAACTAGCTCAGGCTTGGCTCGTGTTCAGCTCGTTCGAAATAGCTTGCATTCGAAATCGGCTCGTGTTCGAAATCAGCTCGTGAACAGTGTGTTCGTGTTCGGCTCGATTTAAATATTCGTGCAATGCTCATCTAATTATCTCTCGTATGAGTAGAGTAATCGATCCAAGTTTGAGCGAGCTCAGGCTTGGCTCGTGTTCAGCTCGTTCGAAATAGCTTGTGTTCAAAATCGGCTCGTGTTCGAAATTGGCTCGTGAACAGTGTATTCGTGTTCGGCTCGATTTAAATATTCGTGTTCGGCTCGAAATTGACTCGTTAAAATTTAATTGAAAAAAATAGATGTAAAGTGTGGGATTCGAACCTGTACCAAATATATACAAAATAAATGATTAATCACATTACCACATTAGATGTTATGATTTAAATTTAGTTATAATATATTATTATATAAATAATATATGTAATATATTATTATATAAATAATTATATATATATTTTTTTTTATTTCGAGCTAAAACGAGCCGAACACGAGCGAACAAAGAACTGTTCGTGTTCGGCTCATTCACTTAACGTACGAGCCGAACACGAGCTACTTAACGAGTCGAACACGACCTATTCGCGAACAACAAGCTTTTTTGACAGCCCTACATATGAGTAAGACTTAGTTGTTACATTTTTTCACACATTAATGGATAGTTTATTGGAACCACGCATATATTTAACATTCCATAAAAAATATCACTATTACCATCTTTTAGTGCATAGGTTTATAGCACCAAGATGTTATACATGAAAAAAAGATATTTTGGGTGTTAGATATGCAAATACATAAGAATTGTGTGGTATGTATGCATATTTCCAAATCAAATGAGCGGCCTTGAAATATCAGCCTATGAAACATGAGAGTGAGGCAAAGCAAAAACTGATATTCTGGTCCTAGCAAATGATGAAAGCTGTCAACCAGAAATGAAAATGGAATTATTCCAAACTCAGATGCCTTTTTATCATGGTATGGATGCCAACATAGGTTAGAAGAAATCAAATTCTATTTCATGCGCATGGAGTGTGGATTCCTGCACTTTTTATCAGCTCACTTTGTTCATTTCTTTTATTTATTTTCATTGATAATGATATAATCATGAAGAATTACAAAGTAATGCTGAAATTTGTAAAGTTAAATATCACATTTTCATCCTCCCCTGCGATCCTGTCCAGCCAAAAATCGAAGGAAGATTTACATGCATACCATTCGATTCTCACGTATTTACATCTAGCATCTAAACTTCACGTTTTACATGCATGACACCATATCTATGCATGAAAAGGTATATTTCACTTATTAGAAGTTAAAATGGTGGTATTTTTTATGTGATATGGGTATTTTTTTGGTATTTTTTATGTGATATGAAAGATTTGAGTGGTGTAAATGTAACAATCAAAAGTTTAGTTGTTAGATATGTAAAATCATAAGAATTGGATGGTATGTGTGTGAATGATCCAAAATCTAAGTAAATGAGACAGGAATAGGATGCCAAAGTGGAGGAAAGACGCATTATGCTTACAGGTACGTGCAAGTAATGTGCGCTTATTATAATAGATAAAAATCTAGAAATTCACAGCTTTTGAGGCATTCAACTTATAAATCAAGCAATCACACCATAAGATGACGGAATTGAAGAGAGATTCAAATTTTAAAGAAGTTTACATGCATATCACACAATTCTTATGTATTTACATTTTAGACCCAAAGTTTAATATTTTCACTTATAACACATTGGTCTCATCAGCCTGTGCATGAAAAGGTGCATTTCGCTTTTAGAAAGATAGCGATGCCGGTATTGTTGTTAAGATGTTTAAGGTCTAAGCGGTATGCATGTAAATATGAATGTTAGGTGCTACAGATATGTGAATGGATAAGAATTGTGAAGCATGTATGTAATTTGTAAATGCCTGAAAATGTAAATGAGCTACAAGATCTTACCTGGTGAGTAATCCAGCGCAGAAAAAAGATGATCTTTTCATTTAAAGATCCAAACCTGAACAGTGAAAGCAATTATACCAATATTCTTTCTTTTCTATGAAAGGAAATGATTCTCTTAACGTGTCTGTCAAGGAAGAACAAAGAAGGCAAATAGCATGGCATTTACATAAGTACCGCACACTTCTTATGTATTTACATATCTACTTCAATATTTACATCCATAACACTCAAATCTTTAATATAACATTAAAAATAACACTATTAACTACTTTTTAAAACTGAAATACACATTTTCATGCAAAGGCTTATCATGCCAAAGTGTTATAAATATAAATATAGAAGTTTGGGTGTTAAACATTTAAATCCATAAGAACTGCGTGCCATGAGTGTAAATTTACCAATAAGAATATATGCCATGATTTACAGTGATTAGCACATGTTCGAAGCTGTTAACTTAGATGCTACCTTTGAACAAATTCAAGTTGAAAATCGCAAGAATTTGAACCTTTCCAGTAATGGACTGAGGCCATTAAAACTGTTATGCACCGATTTCATGCATTCCATTCAGTAAAATATATCTTCGAAAATAAAAAATTCACAAAGGGCTAATAATTATGTGCAATGGTTGCAATTAAGCTAGATAATTGCTCGCATGTTAACTGAAGCAACTTAGTTTGAGTTAAGGATGGTTCACTTAAAACTAATTGAATTCAACTTGAAATTAACTTTATACATGCACACAAATGTTACATGTTTACATAATCCACAAATATGAATGATAGCATTATGCATGCTCACATGGATAAGGTATATGGATATGCTTATTTATTGAACAATATTTAAATGTTTTAACATAGTTATGTGTATATAATACTAAATAAATATAAGAACTATGCATATATATCAAAGTGTTTGAGAAATTATGTGTCGCATGCCCCGGACTGTTGTTGGCATCCACGGTATAAGACCACTCAGGTCGGGGGTTCGAATCCCCTCTCGCACAGTTGGCCTTAAGAAGGTGGTACTCAAATTGTTTGGCACATTATAGGTGGCTGGAGGCTCGTATAATAGCCTTTGATCATTCCTTTTAACCAAAAAGAAAAAAAGAAGAAAAAGTGATTGAGAATTTATATAGATGAAAATATAAATGTATATATAACGAGTTTAGGATTTGTTTTTATTATTTAATAAACTGCCTAGCACTAGTTAGCTCAATTTTTTCTCAAAATCAATCATCTTTAGCTCAACTCAAACATAACTTGAGCCATCTTTTTTTCTCCATTTTGTTTTTTCTTGGGCAGAGGCTAACTTGATAAAACTGAAAGCATTGTCACCCAACTGAAAGGGAAACCATCTGCCCTTTGTTGTACATGATCAAACAGCCCAAATCAATTGATTTTCATAAGTTATATACTTGGAACTTAAAATCTATTTCACATTGGCATCATATAATCTTGCAATAGCATCAAGTGATACACTGACACTTGTCAATTTCATTTTTCAATAAAATTAGATATTATCTACTCAATCACTATGTTACTATTTCCAAGCCCTTTCTTTATTTTCTACTAAACTTTCTCCATTATTCTAAACGTTCACTTACTTTAGAAGAAATCTCAACAATTAATATTATATCATCAGAAAATAGCATGACTTAATTTTCATCTTATAAAAAACATTTTCACCACTTCCTGACTATTATTGCAAGTAATTGCAGTATCCCATACATCTTTAATAACTTCAATATATATCTTTGACACATTTTATTCCTTCATATGATCCTATCAATTCTCATGATACTCAATCCTGTGTAAAGGTAAGAAAACCATATGATGATCCTTTCATAGCTATTTATATTTTGCCACGCTGTCTTCAGCAAAAAAAAATGACTTCCATAGTACATTGTTATTCATATAAAATCAAATTTCTTCTCTAATACTAGAATGAATTATTTATGCTTATATTCCTTATCGTGAATTAACCCAACAATGTCATGTCCTTTACTTAGTAAAAGAGCAAACTGTCAAAGTAATTCTCCAACTGTATATATAGGGCTCTCAGAGCTTATAAATGTGTTAAAATAATCCCAAAAAACTTCTAACGTGACTTGAAATAGTCCCCTCAGATGACTATTTTAGCTTCCTTTAAAAGAGTCTCGAGACTAAATTGACACTTTTGCAGATATTGAGATTAAAATGAACTCCTAAAAAAAGTTTAGGGATCATTTTGACACTTTCTCCTTAGGAAAACTATTATGAGTCTCTCCTCCAGCATGTATCCAGTCATTAGAATCTTCAACTTTCGGCTTATTATCATTGAATTCCATCTTTACTTAATGTTGTTGTTTTCCTTCTTCGGAACTTGACAACAAAGCTATACCCACATCTAAAAACTTCCGTAATTCAGTCCACTATACACATTTTTTTAAAGTTCACGAGAAAACAAAGTTTCCACGTTCGGTGGAACATAGAGTTAAGTACTAACATAGGTTAAGAATTCCGAAGTACTTCAGCAATTTGACAACTTTACGAAACGGAATATTTTCCTTGGGGCATATGGTTCTGGATTTTTTATTGGGACCAGATGTAACAATAGAATAGTTCTGCAGAATCAATTCTACCACAAACTTGACAAGAAAAAGTTCTTCCACAAATAATTTATATGGAAATGTTGGCCTCAGAATTGACAGAAAAAAATTTGCGGAGTACAGGGTTCGTAGGTACCTGAAGTGAAAAAAACGCAGTTTCTTTTTTAAATGCTGAGAAGATTAGATAAGTAGGTTTTATTCCACGGATTCCAGATTCCAGCTTCCAGAAAAGAGCCTTATAAGGGCTGCCTTAGACGAACCTCAGTACTGTAAGAAGAGGTTGGAAGCTTCAGAAGGCTGTAAAGATCCTAAGGTGTTAGCTTTTAAGCAAATATAAGACAACCCAGAAGCAAAGTTCCTAAAAGAGAGCAGCTTTTGCAGAATACCATCTCAAGAAAGAGAAGAAACTAAGAGGTATGAGGCAGCAAGTACAACATTCTATTTTATGACTACAAATTTTTAACAAGAAAAGTGTCAAAATAGTCCCTGACTTTTTACAAGGGTTCATTTTAGTCCTAGAGTCTACAAAAGTGCTAATTTAGTCGTTAGACCCTTTTAATATAAATTGAAATAGTCACTAAGAACTATTTCAGCCTCAATTAGAGAGTCTGGGACTAATTTGATTTTTTTACAGACTCTGAGACTAAAATGACCTCATATAAATAGTCAGGGAACTATTTTGAAACATTACTCAATTTTTAACTAAAACGCAGTCATTTCTCATGAGTAGGAAATGTATCATCTCGACCACAATAGCAGCAACCTCATTTCTCTGAGGGAATCCTATCCTTCGGAAAGAAATTTGTTTCTGCAAGCAGGAAATGGTCCAGTAGATTCAGGACTAGTTCTCTCGACTGATGCCAAACCGAGACTAAAATGGACTCCAGAACTCCACGAGCGATTTGTGGAGACTGTGAATCAACTCGGCGGAGCTGACAGTAAGTGTGAGGCAACTAAGAGATAGATATGTAAATACCAGGGGTAAAATTCTAATTTTGTTTATTAATATATTTTTTCTCTTATAGAGGCCACCCCTAAAACCGTCATGAGGCTCATGGGTATCCCAGGGCTAACTTTATACCACCTTAAAAGCCATCTTCAGGTAAAATTTTGAATTATTTGCTAACTCAACTAGAACATAAAACTTACGTCTTGATTTAACAGAAATATAGGCTCTGCAAAAATCTTCAAGCTCAAACTAATGGACGGAGTGCAAAGAATGGTAATGATGGTCTAAATTATGAAACAATGAGTGCTTATGAATACTATTAATAATTGTAATTATTGTTTCCCTGCTATAGGCGGTGCGGCGGAGGCACCAGACAGAACAGCAGAAGGTAGCAGTTCCTTAGTCAACAACATCAATGTTGGCCTACATAACAAGTAAACACCTTTTGAAACCTTTTAGGAAGATTTACGAACAAACCACTCAATCCCTTTGCATTTACATATCTAACACCAAACTTTAATTTTAACATATATGCCAACTTAGCTAAGCATAAAAATGTGTATTTCACTTTTTAAAATTTAAAATAGTTGTATCTTTTATGTGATATGAAAGATTAAAGTGTTATTAATGTAAAAAGTGAAGTTTGGTTGCTAGATATGTAAATACATAGGAATTATGTGGTATGAATGTAAATGCCCCAAGCTTTTATGTATGAGATCCGTAGATATCCCCTCACCGGCATGCTTTTCTCTCAGAACGGTGCAGATAAACGAAGCACTGCAGATGCAGATGGAGGTGCAGAGGAGGCTACATGAGCAAATGGAGGTACTGATTTTAACGTTCTAAAAGTAGTAAATTTTGTACTGCACATTATCTTATTAGAAACTGCAAAACATATGCTAAAACTAAAATCATCTCAAAAAACAGATTTAACCAAAATCCACTTCTTGGGGTTATTTGGTTCTAATTGTTGTAAAAGGGAAGATGATGATGGCGTTTTTAGTGAGGGGCATTTACATACATATCACAGAATTCTAATGTATTTACATGTTTAACATCTAAACATTCATATTTACATGCATACAGATTGAATCTTTAACATCGCATAAAAAATACAATCATCACTATATTTTTAAAAGTGAAATACATCTTTTCGTGCAAAGTTTATGATCCCAAGGTTTTATTAATGTAAATATCAAACTTTGGTTGACAAATTTGTAAATGCATAAGCATTGTGTGGAATGTTTGTAAATATCTTTTTATTTATGCACTAGGAACATAAAAATCTCAACCTGCAAAGTCCCATCAAATATATACATACATATATATTTAAGCCACTGCAGATCTACAAAAAAAAAAACAGAAACAGTACTCCTATAGAGCAAAATATTAATTTTTTCAAGCATTAATCATATTTATAAGAGAGTGTGGGCCGAATGAGAACAAAAGTTTTGCCTAATACAACAATGTTCACATTCATTTTCAACTCAAAAGTTTAAGCTTTTTGATGAAGAATAATCATGTAGTGTTTGAACACCAATATATTTGTCACAATCTCATGATAAATTAAACAAAATAATTTACATGGCTTAACAATCTCCTCACATGAAACCTCTCCATACAGTCCATCGCTCTCCCTCGGAACTTTTCATATCATCAAGTATTATGTACTAAAAATCAAATTAACCATGAAGTTGTGGAACCCACCAACTCTTGAAATTTTACTCAGCCATAAAGCACATAAATCACTTGATCTCCACTTAATCATATGCTTTGATACCAATTGTTAGGGAGTGGGAACAAAATGATTCGGATTTGGCCTTAATACACCATTGATCAATCCTATTTTCAACCCAAAGACATAAATATATGAGTGTAGGCCTACTATTTGATATTTCAACATCAGCATATTTATCAACTATCTAATATAGGACTAGACTCAAAATTGGTTACATATGTTGCAAACAATTTTTATGTATTTACATATTTCACATTTAAATTTTCATATTTACATATATATATAGCACTTTGGTGCTTTAAATTTATGCATGAAAAGATGTATTTCACTTTTAAAACATGATAATATTTTTTTATGTGATATTAAAGATTTGATGTTACCTGTGAATATGAAAGTTTAGGTGTGAGACATGTAAATACATAAGAATTGTCAGCTGTGTATGTAAATGCCCCATAACAATATTGATGCAAATTACAGAAGTATTCATATGCATGAATTTGGAGCAAAATAAGTTTCATTGTTCATCAAAATATACTTGTACATGCTGAAAAGATGGAATCCATTATTATAAATTCTTCTTGTCATCAAGCTTTCTGGTTCTTGTTGATAGACTCAAGTGCCAGAGGATAAGTTTTCACTTTGTAGCTTCACAAAATCAACACGGTCCACTTGATAATAATCATAAGCCTTCACAAGAAACTGATGAGACAATAAACCGAAAACATGCTCAATATGTGACAATACTTATCCTTTATATCAATCATCATAGATGTGAAAGCACCAAAGTGTTAATTATGTAAATATGAAAATTTAGGAGCGAGATATGTAAATACATAAGAATTACGTGGTATGTATGTAAATTTTCCTTTTCTTTTATTTATGTATGATAGTCTTCATTGGCATCAGCCTTATCTCTATTATTTGGGGATTTGCTTTATGGCCACTCATTATCCATTAATTACTACTGAATTTTATACAAGTAGTTCGCTCCATTTTGCTCGAGTCTTTCGCACATTTCCTAGACATGTTATTCATCAAAATACATTTTTTATTAACATAGGTGCAAAGACATTTACAAATGCGGATAGAGGCTCAGGGTAAATACTTACAGACAGTGCTCGAAAAGGCTCGTACAACGCTCGAGATTCAGAACACAGGTTCTGCAGGCCATGAAGCTGCTAAAGAGCAACTCTCTGAATTAGTCTCAAAGGTTTCAAATGAATGCTTCACGAGTGCATTTATAGGTTTGGGAGAGATCCATGGAGCTGATAATTTGCGAGAATGCAGAGTCCAACATGCTGACTGTTCGATTGACAGTTGTTTGACCTCATGCGAAGGATCACAAAAGGAACAGAAAATGCACGGCATCAATTTGAACCTCCAAGGGTATCACAGTAATTTATCATCAGGCACAAACGAAAAGCACGAGAATGTCAGATTTGAATCGATTAATTCAGGGTGGTGGTGTGGAGAATTGAACGGCCACAACATGTTTTCTCAGCCGAGGGTGAATGTCTCAGAAAATTGCAGTCTACCAGTCTCCAAAACAAATTGCAGGCAAATAGACAAGTATAATTCTGATCATGAACGACCGAATTATGGAGGAACGGTTCAACAAGAAAGTTCGAAGAACTTGAATGAGTTTGGAATGCCATGTTTGACACCACAACTGGATCTAAACACCCGTGATGACAATGATGCTGCTCGAAACTGCAACGAATTCGATCTAAATGGTTTCAGCTGGAATTAATTCAGAAAATATTAGCTATTTATAATGCTCCATGATGAATTTATAAGTATTAACAAAAAATCTCATAATATATCTTTCTTTTCAGTTTATCTAAATCATTTATAATTCAAAGAGAACTTGAATGAGTTGGAATGCCATGGTTGACACCACAACTGGATCTAAACGCCCGTGATGATAATGATCTGCTCGAAACTGCAATGAATATCATCTGAATGGTTTCAGCTGGAGCTAATTCAGAACATATTAGCCATTTATAATACTCCATGATAAATTTTCTAAGTATTAACAAATACTCTCATAATAGTTTTTTTCTTTTCAGTAATCTAAGTCACTTATAAATCAAAGAGATTTGAATTCAGTTATTTATATCCAGAGGTGAACTGATGAGTGTACAAATAGAGTTTCAAAATCATTTAAACCGATTAAATTGAGGTAATTTGTAAAAATTAGTTATGTTAAGCATAACCAAGGAACATTGTTCATAATCAACTTCAGATTCTTAATGTCATTCACAAAGAAGAAGATATATCTAAAGGCAGCAATACCCCCAATTTTCAATGGCCATTTTACTAAGTATATTTTTTCTTTATGGACATTTAGTTGATCAGGATAAAGAAAAAAAGAAAAATTATAATCGTCGTCATTGTTAGCCTTGTCTGAGCTATTTGGGAGTAGCTTTATAAATTCTGATTTTTCATTAGTTCTTGTTGAGTGCTGCTTTATTTAATTTCTCTAAATCTCTTTTTAAAAAACTTGTAGAGTTTTAATGTGTTACAACTGCCAAATAGCACGAGCTTGCAGCAATTAAAAAATCAAGTCATAAAATGGGAGACTTTGCACAAGAAAGAAATATGATAATTGAAGATCTTCCCATTGTTAAAGTGAAAAAATTGAGCCAATTATAAAAGACATTGCTCTCATTGTGATCGTAGAAGAATTTATTCACTACTTAGCAAAAAGATGTCACCTTTTACTATCGAACAAAGCATGTACAACTCAAATACCATTACATATAGGAATTTGCATGACAATATGGAACATGCTAAAAAGTAGAGGTTTTGTAAGGTTCGATTAAGGGTCTGTTTGGGGCAGCTGCAGCTTACTGAATAATCTGGTGATAAGCTAGGTGCGGTGGTTATTACAAATTTTTATTTTTTGTGAAAAAAACCAGACCGCAGAAAGTTGTCACCGCACATAGATAGGTGCGGTATGAAAACATTGTTTTCAACGTTTTGAAAGCGCATAAGCTGACAAAACACAATTTACCCAAACATGTCAGGTGAGTTTTTCAAAAACTTCACCGCACCAAATAAGCTGTCCCAAATGGGCTGTGAAGTTGCTGAAAAATAATCTGATGTTAAAAAAGTTACAATTGTTATGACATTTTTTTTTTTTTTTTTTTGAAAAAATCGTACCTAAACTTGAAAGATTTCTGTGCACCTAGCTAGCACCGGTGTGAAAATGCACCCTTTTCGAAAAAAACTGTAAGAACGCAGGTTACCCAAAGAGACAAAACTGTAGTGCATTGCCGCACCGCCGCCGCACCATCACTGGACCGCCGCCCCGAAGGAGCCCTAAGCTTTCAAAATAATGATATGGAGGTATCAGATTAAAAAAAAAATGCTCGTACAGTGATTACCGAGTAAGTACACAAGAGATTACTCGCTAAATGGGAGATTATTAAGATCCATTAGACATATTTGCCCGTGCTTCTGTGATACAGGGTAGATTTCCAAGTTATTTTAAATTCGTGAAAATCAAGGATAAGACTTGGACCAAATTTTGTTTTCAAGCTTTCTGACTAACAAACTCAATATCCTATTATTATAAATAATAAAAAAAACAAAAAAATATATATATAAACAAACAAAGTTTAATGAGATCATCTCCCCACTGAAATTTATGGTTTGCCTCTCACACACCTCAGCTTAATCGAACAAAAAAAAAAATCGAGAGAAAGAAAGGGATCGTGAGATATCGAGAGAGTGGGGTAGAGGAAGTAGAGAAAGGAGAAGGAAGAAGAAATGGAGGAGAGAGGTAGAGGAGGCGAGCCGCGTACCTGGCTGTGTATGATCGAACTAAAGGAGAAGAAGGCTCGCGCGGATCGGTTGAGTGCCGCGAAGAGCAAAGGAAAGGAGGAAAAAGAAGGGAAGCTCATTTAGGTAATTGGTGGGCTAGAGCGTGCCCTGTCGAGTGTCTGACTCGCGGAGGAAGGAGATGGAAGGCTCGCGGGATCCTTTCTGCGTGCGTGAAAGGGTGCATCGAGAGTGTGGAGGAAGATGAAGCGGAAAAATATTAGATTAGCACTAAGCACATAGAGGTAAGTGGCTAATCAATTTTGTTATTAATGTGTTATTGTATGTGTTATTACGTTCTGAAAATATTTCTGATGTTATAATAACACAATAACACATGAATAATATATAATAACACCTGAATAATACGGACGAATATTCCCCTGTGCTACCAGAAAGATTTTTTGTTTTTTCTCTCCTTGATTTCACCGGTAACACAGGGGAATATTCCTCTTATGTTATTCAGGTGTTATTGTATGTTATTCATATGTTATTGTGTTCTGGAAATATTTCATGTGTTATAATAACACAATAACACATGAATAACACGGGAGGAATATTCCCCTGTGTTACCGCGCCGTTTTTTTTTTCTAGCCTGACGTGATTTTATTGGCTACGCACGTATCTCTACGTGTGTAGTACTGATGTAATATTTTTTCGATGGAAGAAGATAAGACTCGGTTCGAACGAATTAGGGGAAGCAGAAGCTTTAAAAAGGTTAAGTATTAATTTATTCAGGCTATTAATGTTTTTCTTAAGTAATTTATGAAAATGATATTGATTCTTATATTTTTAGCGAAAATAATAAAGTAAGATGGAACATGAGAACAATTTCAGGTATAAATTTTAAATTTTACATTTAATTATTATATATTTCATTAATTTCTGTAAAATTACAAAACAAGATTCAAGAAGTCATAATAATTATTTAGGAATGTATTTAGTTAAATTATAAATGATTAATGTTAACATTAAGAGTAATTTAAAAAGTACTTATATTGATTAACAATATATAACAATTTAATTAAATAAAAATGACAATTTAAAATATCTAATTACTAGGTTAGAACTCTTGAGAAATAGGGTCAATAATTTATTTAAATTTGATGCGTGCTAGAAAATTCAAGGCGGCAAAGTAACAAATTATCATTTTAGCATTGTGCGAGAATTCAGCGCACACACACGGGATAAAAGAGAAACAAGCAGTGATGACTCCAGAAACTTTTACGTAGAAAACCCGAAAAGGGGAAAATCACGAGGTTTGTCCCAATTGTGAAAATTCATTATTGATTGATGATGACAGAACTCTTTTGTCTCGCAGACGGGAAATTTTCAGATTACTACGTCGACTGATGGCGTCTGGTTGATGATTGATGATGATTGGCAGTGATCGACGACAGATGGAAGATGTCAATGGAAGTCGACGATAGATGGCGGAGGTCAACGGAAGTCGACGACGATGAGCGATAGTCGATAGAGTTCTACGGTGGTTGACGGAGGACAACATTCGACGTTGACGGAGGACAACATTCGACGGTGGTCTAGGATAGTCGGTTGTGGTCGAGGAAGGTCGGTGGTGGTTGAGGACGGTTGGTCATGATTGGCGGTGGTCGAAGGCAATCGACAGAGGTCGTGACAGTCCACCGTTGTCGTGACAGTCGGTGGTGGTCGACGTCGATCGACGATAGCAGGGATTATGTTGGACTTGAACTCCTTCTCAAAGCCTCAAGTTCTCTCTCCAACCCCCTCCATCATGTTATGGGTGAGATTTTATTTATAGTGCTTTTAGTGCAATTAATGCATGAATATGAATCATTTTAATCAGACGGTCCAGAGAGCTTTTCATCGATAAGATGACGTTTAATGCACATTTGAGTGTCTTATCGATGTCAAAATTGAGCAATCTGGACTCGTTGGATTAGTCTTATCGATATTAGACTATGCACTCGCTAGATTTAACATCCATTTAACATTTCAAATGTTACCGAAAATCCTCTAATAATGGTTTAATGAAATGATATGGGCTTGATCTGACTCGAATTGGAGTAGTTTTTATATCATTGGGTCCGTCTCATCGAGCCGGTCAATTTGACCATAAGTTTACTGAAATCAGAGTTCTGGATGACTCTTAATTGAAGTTTGAATATTTCTAGCTTTAGTGCAATTAATGCATTTTTATTTAAATGTAAAATAAAAATGAATAAAATGTGATATATGCATGCATGTGTGAGTTATCTCGATATGGTATTGACAGAGAATGTAATGTAACCTTGAACGAAAATGAAAATGAAAATTAAAATAAAAAATGGAAATGAAAGTGAAAATATAAATGGTTAAACATATATCTATAAAGTGTATGTTTAGGCAATGAATCCAATTATAAAAAGTGAAACCTAAATTAATGAAAGAAAATAAATTTATTTACTTTATTGTTTTCTTTAACTACACAATTTTTATTATGACCGTTTTTTTAATATTTTAAGACGAGAATTATTGTAATTTAGAATTGTTTATCCAGTAAGTATTTTGACCCAAATCATAACTGTTATTATTTTTATAGAAAAATAAGTGATAAATTAGATGAATCTCAGGGAGCACGTGTACAGGTGTCTTGCAATACAAGCTAATATGTATTGAAGTTAGCTTATTTTTTATTTAAATGTAAAAGTTTAAATATGAATCAAATTTTATAATTATTAAGTTCTTGGAATTAGAATGATTATTTATTGCTTAGGTATCTCTTTTATTAAATTTTTAATATTGAAGTTAAGTGATAAAAATAGAACATGAGTGTTATACTTTTCACCGCTCAACCGTCCGACCGTACGTTCTTGTGTTGGTTAATTTCAATCGTCAGGTCGGGTCATGACAAAAGTGTTATGAGAGCCATAAAACAATGAAATTTTATAATAATTAAAAAAACTAAGTTAGAGCTAATTAAGTAATTATTTTAATTCACTCAAATGAATGATGCTTCTGAAATTCAAGAAAATGGAAATGTAGTAGAAAATGAAGTAGTACTATTTGTTGTTAATGTTAATATGAATTTCTTGACCCAGATGATGGCGACAATAACTCAACTGATTCAAGAGTACAGGTCACATCCTGTTGAAAGTGATTTAGTGGTTGTAAATAAGTATTTGTTAAAGGGATCTGAAGATGCAATTGAATCATCAACTTTTCTCGAAAAAATGGCTACATATAGTATTTAATTTTGGTCTGATTTATAAATTTGGATTTAGTAGATCATTTAATTACTATGTCAAATAAAATTTGATTTATAATTTTATTTTATATTATCATTCCTCAATATATAAGTATTCACTATACAATTTAATTATTAATAAGGAAACTAATATGAGTTTTTAAATAATGGCTTAACATTAATTAATTATAAAATGATTGATTATTTATTAAACTAGCTATTAATTAACTAAAATTGAAGATATAATTACATATTTTGCCAACAATGAA